GGGCCTTAGTAGCTCCTGCATAGCTGAAGGCGTGGGGGCGGGACGGTGATAAAAATGCATTGCTTAAAGCAGGAGCGATATGGACATTTTCTCCTCTGCACCGTGCTCACAAGCAGATACTGCTGCCTCTCCATTTCAAGAAGGAAAGGAGAAAAGGAGAGTTGGGAGGTAAGTGACTTGCCCGAAGACACGGGGCCCATAAAGGGCGGAGCCGAGACTGGAGCCCCCAGAACCTCTTCAGACAGAGCCCCAAGACCAGGCACCTCCCTGCGCCTGCCACCAGCATCCCCCGTGGGCGCGGGTCAGCGGGGGAGCCCTCAGCGCAGTGCGTGTGGGGCCTTCGGGGATGAGAGCGGTGGAACCGGGGAGGCGGGGCTGCTTGGGGCGGGCTGAGGGCCAACCCCGCTCTGGGCCAGGCTTTCTTCTCCTCCGCCAGCGCCCCACCCGGCCGCGCCCCATGCCCGCCGCTGCCAGAGCCGAGAGGTTTCCTTTTTCTTTTGCCTAGGGCTGTTTCCTGCCTTTCCTTTGAACTGGGGTGTTGGCTCCCCCACACAGTCACCCTCCTCCAGCGACCCCCCGGGTCTGCCCTCTGATGGGCCCGTCCCCCCTGGCTTTAGTGTGGAAGAAGGCTGGCACCCAAGGGCCCCAGAGCACCCCGTTTCCTGGAATCACTCTGCGTGGCTTCACCCTTCTCTCTCCTGCCGGGTCTGGGTCTCCCTCGGCTGTCCCTCCCCTCACAGCCACAGGCAGCTCTGGGCAGGCGCCAGGATGGGAGGGAGGGTGTTTCTCTGTCCTGAGTCAGGAGGCTCTGAGGTGAATTCTCCCTGCTTCTCCTACTCTTTAATATTTCAACCCAAGCTGACCATTGCGGTGCACCCAGTTTGGGGGCTTACACTGCAGCAAATGAGCCTTAGAGCTCGCAGGTGGGGTGGGGGAACCAACCTTAGGCTCTTAGAACCTGTGTGGGAGTGGGGGCAGCCTCAGAAGTGAGACATAAGACGTGAGACAGGATATATTGAACCCCCACTTTAAGGGCTTATCTAAACACGTTGGGGAACCGGCTGGGGTGGCCCCCTCCTTTTCCATGAAGCACAGACCAGGAGAAAGCTACAGCTTCTGGAGGTTAAAAGTAGAGATTTCCCTTTTCTTCTGCAAGATCGCTCACAGCTCTCCAACATCTTTCACAGAACAGTGCTCCCCTTCTCCCTCCAGGAAGACTTCCATGACTAATACTTGTTGGCCCTGGTCACCCTAATAACAACACTGGCTGACACTGACGGAGCCCTTCCCCTGGGCCAGACACCCTGCCAGAACCTTCACGAACATCAGCTCAGTGAGCCGCACAACTGCCTTGGAAGTGTTTGTTCCACTTACAGACAAGGAAACTAAGTCACAGGTCAGCACACCGAGGAGGGGGTGCCCGTGCAGCGGGTGCCCAAGCTTTTAGCCCCTCTGTGCCCCCAGCACCTGCCTCCCTCTCGATGGTCATGGACACCCCCAGCCAGCAATGAGGGGGCCCCAAATTACCTGGATTCCACACACACTCGTACACGCATGCGCACATACACCATCGGCCTTTCATACAAGCTCAGTGGTTAGCATAGGCAGGACCTAACGGGATTGAAGTCCCAGGAAGGCAACCCTGACTGGAGGCTGTGCGGTGTGGCAGCTCCTCCCTCCACCCCAGGGGGTGAGGATGAGGCAGATGGGGTTCTGAGTAGAAGCCTCACATCTTTTACAACTCACCACCCAATACAGCTTTTCTCTTGCTACCTGCTTCCTTCTATTCCTCACCTTCAGAGGCAAAAAGCGAGACAGAGTAATTACCCAGTTTCTATTCAGGGACAACTCAGGGCATTATTTGCCAAAAAAAAAGTATCTGCTGTGGCTGTCAACTTGTAGATGTGGGGTGGGGGGTGGAGCCGGGGGTGCCGTGCCTTCTCGTACTATCAGATTGGAGCAGCCCAGAGCCAAGGCTTTCTCCACCCCAGAGGGGTTCCCAGAACAGGCCCTCCCCAGGCAGAATGTCCTGATCCCCGTGAGTTTCCGTGGGTCTCACAGAGATGACAGACCAGGAGGAAACTCACAGGGACAGACACCTGAGTACTGTGGCCATAAGAAGCCTGCTGCTTCTTAGCCTTGACCACACAGCCTGGCACTGGGTCCCAAGTAGAGATGGTCTCTGTACTTGAGCGTCAAAGAAGGACCACCAGATGTAAAGACCTCTGGCTATCCCTCTAGCCAATGTGTGTGCATTGTAGAAGACATGGCCTCTCTTGCGGCAGCCAGGTGGGGTGGGGGGGAGTGAGGCGGCTCTCACCGACCTATGGTGGGGAAGCAGGTATGCAAAAATTTTTTTAGGGTGCAAGCAAAGAATGCATAAGAGGACACACAAGTGTGTTCTGGAGTTCAGAGACAACCGGTGTCTCCTGGAATTCAACCTATGATTTCTTCTAAGGATTGTCCAGTCCCCTGTGGCCCACCACATCCTGTGTTTAGCCTCACCTTTCACCTTCTCAGCCTCGTATCAAAAGGATTTAAGCATCCACTCCTTCCTACCCCAAGCCCCAACATTAACCAGCTGGTTTGACCCCAACCTTCCAGAACCAGCCAGGCATGGAGCAAGACTACTCCCTGGACACCTGGCTTCCTCCTGCCACAGACAATTATTTTGCATTCGATACCGCCCCCACCCTCAACCTTTCCCTCCCCGTGTTGCTCCAGGGACAGCCAGCAGAAGGCAGGCCACTAAGAGTCTCTATGTCTGTGTCATCCCTGTGCCTCGGCACCCTTTTAATCCACCCACTTCTCTCCTTGTACAAATGAAGACCCTGAGGCCGAGAGCTCCGTGACCTCCAGTAGGTGACAGAGCTAGGAAGGAACCAGGGCTTGGGTGGCCCAGAGACTCTGCTGTTTCCATCAGCGCATGCAAATGTGCACACCCGCAGAAAGAGCTGGGGTGTAGGGGACAAGGTCCGCGGGCACTACCCAACACTGCTAAGAAGGCGCGAGAGCCCCAAAGCCTCCCTGCTCTGGCTTTTCCCCCATGACAACCACTCCCAGAGGCCTTTGTGGCTCTCTTTAGAAGGCAAAGGAAACAACACCTCCTCCAAGATGCCCTCAGGACAGCAGCCTCCAGCAGACACTCACAGACAGAAGGAACCTCCCCCCAAAGGCAGGCCTGGTTCTCCCCACCCCTTCCCATGTTCCAGAGCTGCTAAGATCACATTCCCGGAACCCACACTCCATGTCTCCTCCTGCGCTCTCAAAAGCAGAGAGGGCTTGAGTCCTGCCCCAGAGGGCCTCTCTCAACCTGGGAGACACAGGCCAGCTCAGAAAATCCCACCTCCACTGAACCCAAATTCAGATTGCTCAGCTCCAGGGCAATTGTGCCAGGTGGTGGGAAGAGCTCCGGTCAGCTTGGGGGTGGAGGTGTGGGGGCCAAGGTGCCCTTGAAGCTGTCCTTCGCCAGGGAAAGGGTCAGTTTAGGAAGACAGGTGCCAGGAAAAGCAGTGACCTGGTGAGCAAAGGGGGGTCAATCTCCCCGTGTCCCCTCAACCAGCAAGGGCACCTTTCTGGTGCTCCCCCAGAGAGAGGCTGTAACGAAGTCATTTCCTAACTCATGCAACCACAGAATCCTGTCTTCAAGGGACATGACTGGGACATCTCCCAGTAAAAGCCAGCTAAGTCGGGCAGGTAGCAGGGCACAGGCCGGAACCAGGCCTCCTCTGCCACTTCAGGGGCACCTCCGGCTCCCCGGGCCCTGATTCCTGGTTTGCACCTGCCGCCTGCACCCCCTGCACTGTGTAGGATTTGGTTTGCCCTTCTGGAATATGGACGCTAGATTCTCCCTCTCACGCCCTCCCCAGAACCCAACCTGTGCCTCTGGAGTAGAGAGGCGCCTCCCGGTTAGGGGCAGAGGATAGAGCATCCACACCCCACCAGGACACCCCAGCTCCAGTGCTGAGTGTCCTGCTCTCCTTTAGACTATTTAACATTCTCAAAACAAGCTCAGCTCTTGTCCTCAGAGCTTCCAGGTCCTCATACCTCAAGCTCGGAGACCCTACCCCTGGGCAGGTGACCCCAGACTGCCCATTTGCTCCATTCCTCTGAGGAAATGGGTTGAGCAGGGTGGACTGGGGCCATTTCTTTCCCCCAGAGCAGGTGGGGGGAGGGGTATGGAGTGTGCTCCCACCCACCTCTGCCCCCACCCCACTCCTCTGCTGAGTGGACAGTGCCCCCAGTGCTCTGCTGTGAGGGAAGCGCAAGCCGTTCTGGGGACAGCAGCCCCCAATAGGGTCCCCTCCACGGGCCATCTCACCCCAACTCAGACGCTAAAAATGGTTCTCTGGTTTTCAGCCTCGGCGCCTGCCCACAAATTAGTGTCTCCGACACAGCCTCTTGGGACATGACTTCAGGGAGGCCCCTGGGGAGGCAGGAGGCCAGTGAGGGAGATGTGGTGGCAGGGTGCTGGAAGAGACAGTGTGGAGAATGCCCCTTTCCGTTTCTGGGACCCTGTTCCCCCACCAAGGCTGCCCACCTCCCCTCGGTGGGACAGTGCTGCCCTCAAACAGGCCTGGCAGGGGCACAGAAAACCCTCCACCTCTCTGGCCCCCTCCCCTCTCCTCCACCACCATCCCTGCCAGCCTTGCTCCCAGCCTCCATCCTGGGCACCTCTCCATGGAGAAGAAAGTCAGCAAGAGGCCAGGGGTGTCCAAGCCCAGGTCCCTCCAGCTCAGGGTCCAGGGGCCCACCTGAGCCACCACAGGGAACCCACAAGTCAGAGTCCCCGGGAAAGCAAGGAAGGGGGCGGCTGGCCACTCGTCTGCCCTTACATCCCAGACTCTCCTCTGCCCAGCTCCACAGCAGCCCACTTGGAGGGGAAAACCCCTCCCCACAGCTGTCCGTGTCCGGCTCACCAGGCAGGTGCCCTAGACTGAGGCGGTGCGGACGCGGCAGACGCCAGGCAGGGGCAGGGCGGGCCGACGGCCGGTACTCACAGGTACGCCGTCAGGGGGTCCAGGTCCCTGGGCACAGTGGACAGCCCGAGCTCGGAGCAGTCGGCTGACAGCATGATGTGGTCCTCCTGACAGTGGCAGGGGGCCGGGCAGGCTGCGGGCCCTGCGCTCGTCTGGGGGGCGCCCCCGGAGGCGCAAAGAGCGGCACAGAGCCACAGCGCCCGGAGCCCGGGCGGGCTGGGCATCTCGGCGGCCGGGCTGCGGGAGCACCTGGCGAGCGGACGC